AACCCTCCAGATCTTCGAGACCTTTTGGCCTCCTTAGACTCCCTTTCCTCGCCTAAAACACCCTCAATCTTCCGTGCAATCTCCACTACTTATTGAAATGGAGTATCAGTTTGCAATTCTCGAGCCATACATATTTTAATATCATAATCGAGCCCCTCAATAAATCTGCGGACCCGTTCTTTGATTGTCGGAACTAAGATAGGTGCATGATGGGCTAACTCACTGAACCTGATAGCATATTCAGACATTGTCATGGTGCCCTGACGCAACTGTTCAAACTCTGTGCTCCACATATCTCTGAGAGTCTGGGGAACAAACTCTTTAAAGAATATTTTCGAAAATTGAGCCCAAGTTGGTGGTGTGGCATCGACTGTTCTACCTTCTTCATAGATTTGCCACCACCGATACGTTGTGCCTGACAGTTGAAATATAGTAAAGGAAACTCCGCTCACTTTCACAATACCCATGGTGAGGAGAATATGGTGACAACTTTCCAGAAATCCTTGGGCATCCTCTATAGATGTGCCACTGAAAGTTGGTGGATCATATTTCTTAAACCTTTCAAGTCTCTTTTGTTCTTCTTCTGATGCCTCGGGCCTGACCTCAGGCCGAACCGGAATAACAGGTTGTACTGGTACTACACCCGAAACCTGACCAACGTGAACTTGCTGCTCTGGAGTTGTGATAGGAGTCTGAGCTACTTCCTCAATCTGCGGAATGTTTGGTGCAACATAGATCATTCCCGCATGAGTTAATGTACTAAACATACTCAGGAACTGTGCTAAAGTCTCCTAAAATACTGGGGTAACAACAGGTGCTTCTGGTACATGTCCCCCAACTGGAGCTACTAGTGGATCCTCAATTGTTGTTCTGACAGGTGCTCTAGTCGCAACACGTGCCCTTCCTCGACCTCTATCTCGGCCCCGACCTCTTGCAGCCCTAGCAGTATGTGCGGATGCCTGATCAGCTAACCCAGTATCACGTGTCCTCACCATCTGTGAGAGAATGGAGATACAAAGGTTCAAATTCCAAATTCAACAAATTTCGCACCACGAGAATGAAAAAAATGGAAATTTCCTAACAGTTCTGTAGCCTCTCGAAGATAAGTACAGACGTCTCTGTACCGATCCGCAAGACTCTATTAGACTCGTTCGTGACTCGTAGAACCTATGAACCTAGAGCTCTGATACCAACTTGTCACGACACAAAATCTCACCACAGGCGTCGTGATGGCACCTAGTCTCTAAGACTAGGTAAGCCGATTTCTATTACATTTTGAAGACATTTTATTTTTTGAATTAAAATCTAACAGCGGAAATAATTACAATACACAACCTCCCAAGACTGGTAGTACTGAGTCACGAACTCTAACTGAATACAGGGAATGATCACAAGGACCGAATATACAATATTGTTTGATTACAAATTAACAGTACAGTGAAATGAAAAGACTCCAAGGGACTGCGACGGCCAAGCAGCTTTACCTTGAATCCTTATGATCGCGCTTTAACTCTGCTCAAGTCCGATATCTTCAATACCTGGCTCTGCACAAAAATGTGCAGAAGTATAATATGAGTACGCCACGGTCGGTACCCAGTAAGTATCAAGACTAACCTCAATGGAGTAGAGACGAGGTACAGTCAAGACACTCACTAATCTAATAACCTGTGCAATATGATATACAAAATAACATGAAACAAATAACAATAGGACAACATGGAACAACCAGTTATATGCACAACAGAAAGAATACCATTAATATCACTCAACAATTAATAAACACAAGTACACCCAATTAAAACAAGTCCTCCAAATAAATGTCTTTCACATATAATTCTTCTAGATAACTCTCTTTCAAATATAATTTTCTCAAATAATTATTTTTCAAATAGAATTCTTTCAATAAATCTTTTCAAATATAATTTCCTCAAATAAATATCTTTCAAATAAAATTCTTTCATATAATACTTCCTAAGTAAAAATCCTTCCAAATAAATATTTTGAATATAATTCTTTCAATAAAAAAAAAGTCACCATGTGACATCTCATTTCATAATCATAAAAATACGGGTCTCAGCTCATTTTCATATTTCCACGGCACCTCGTGCCCATAATTTAATCACCATATTTTCCCGGCACCTCATGCCCTCATTTCATATCACAACTGCGCGAACAATTCATGTGCCAATTATCATTATCATTTCATCACAGCACCTCGTGCCCACATTTCATATCACAACTGTACGGACAATTTACGTGCCAAATATTCTCATTATTTACTCACGGCACCTCATGCCCATATTTTATTTTATAATCCGCCTGGTAATAGCCACAGGCTCTCAATTTCAACATAAATCAGATTATTATCAATTTACCAACAACAAGACAAGTTGCACAAGGTATAGAAATAAACACAAGAAAATCACAACATCACAAGAAAATTATCAACACCACAACCCCACATCATCACATATCGTCCCTGACAATAGCCACCATGCTCCTATTGTCACCCTTATCACTCCTATAACCACCCTTATCGCTCTGCCCAGACAATATCAATAGCCACCCTTATCGCTCCTATTGCTACCATTATCGCTCCGCCCAGATAATATTCCAACAAACACAACAACAGTGAAACGCCACCCTTATACCCACATTACATCAACGGTGAAATGCCACCATTATCTCCCCCAAAATAGTAACTCACACAACACAACAATTTACACTGGAAATTAACACGACAATATAATAAACTTAATTCATATCACAATTTGCCCAATGGCCACAACCAAATTCCAAAGATATAACAAAAATCAATTAATTTCACAACAAATAGCCCAAGGTTCCACACAATATATATAACACCCAAAAACAATCAATTGAGATAGAAATTACTCAGCATAAAGCAAAACCTTCATTTAATGCAACTATAGATAATTATATTAACACTTATTCTTAAGCTCACTTAAATTAATTATTTGCATAAGAAGATTCATATTGGAATTAATTTCCAAGAAATATTAAATCAACAATACTCACGAAATTTCACAAATATTTCAAGTAACAATCACATCAAATTATCATATAAAAACAAATTCAACAATAAGGATTTAGGCATGGCAAACTTATGATTTAATAATTTTCCACAATTTTCTCATTTACTGCGCAATAATGCCTAAGACTTTATTTCAATGAATTTTGCACGTATAAGCCCAAGTACGTACTCGTCACCTCGCGTACACGACTTTTCAAATTTCACAAATGGCACATAAGACTCAATACCTAAGGGGTAATTCTCCCACTCGAGGTTAAGCAAGACACTTACCTTTTTGAAGTTAAGCAGATATTCCAAAATAGTCTTCTTGCTTGAATTGGCCTCCAGACAGCTCAAATCTATCCAAGTTAATTGTATAACTTCATTAAAATTCATCGGAAACAATTCCGGATAATAATACGTCGATTTAAAATTTTATTCCAAAAAGTCAACGCGTGACCCGTCTCTCGGAACCCGACATAATTTTCATGAAATCCGAACACCCATTCCGATACGAGTTCAACCATACCAATTTTATTGAATTCCAATAACAACTCGACCTCCAAATATTAAATTTTTATTTTTTGGAAGAGTTTTTTAAAATCTTGATTTTTCCATTTAAATCTGAACTAAACAATGAATATAATTATAGATTCATGAAATATAATCACTTTAGGATATAAAGCACTTACCCAAGTCGAAGTCTTGAAGAACTCCTCCAAAATCGCCCAAAAACCGAACTCCAAAATCTAAATCGAAAAATGGCGAAATGACCATTTTTGGTCCTTAACAAACCGAGCTCCTGCGTGCTCGCTTTTGCGAGCAAAATCTCGCTTATGCGAAGGCCACTGCCCAGTCGACCATCACATTTGCGGAAGTTTTTCCGCTTCTGCGGGAATCGCTTATGCGATGCCTCACGCGCACCTGCGATGCCCCTCCGCTTCTGCGATTTCTCTGCCTGCTTCTGCGCTTCCGCAGGTGCGAGGGACTTTCCCTTTTGCTTCTGCGGCCTAAATCTCGCATTTGCGATGTCGCACCCGCGATCAATTTTATCGCAGATGCGATGAAACCAGTGGCAGATTTCCAACAGACCTTCAAGTCCAATTTTGGTCCGTTTAACCATCCGAAACTCGTCCGAGGCCCCCGGGATCTCAACCAATTATACCAACATGTCCCAAAATACAATACAAACTTAGTCGAGGCTTCAAACCACGTCAAACAACGCCGGAATTACGAATCGCGCATCGAATCGAATTACAAGTTTTCAAATCTTTCAACTTCTATATTTTGCGCCGAAACGTATCAAATCAATCCGGAATGACTTCAAATTTTGCACACAAGTCATAATTAACGTAAGGGAGCTATTCCCATTTCCGAAATCAAAATCCGACCTCGTTATCAAAAATTCACCCTTCGGTCGGACTTTTCCAAAAATCTTATATTTTCCAACTTTCGCCAAAATATGTCGAATTGTCCTACAGACTTCCAAACCCAAATCCGAACATGCGCCTAAGTCTGAAATCATCATACGAAGCTATTGCCATCATCGAAATTTCATTCCGGGGTCGTTTGCTCAAAAGTCAACTCCCCGGTCAACTCTTTCCATTTAAGCTTCAAAATGAGAATTTTTCTTTAAATTAAATTCTGAATATTCCGAAAACAAACTCGACCACACACGTAGGTCATAATACATATTGTGAAGTTTTTCGAGACCTTAAGTCAGAGGACGAAGCGTAATTTCTTAAAACGATAAATGAGATCGTTACAATTTGATTGTGCGTGTGTTCAGTGAAAAGTTTTGGTTTTTAGCAAATAAGTATTTTTACAGTACTAGTATCTATAGTTTGTGGAATTCTGCTGAATTTGGTTTTATCGACAATTATTTTGCTTTGTTTGCATATAGGAATGAGTGAGTTTGCTTTAATTACTTTAAGATTATATCATGGTGAGGTCTTAGAGTTTGGAAATGGGGAACCGAAATATGTTGGTGGGGGTCATGAGTGAATATTTGGATGTTGATGTGGATACCCTATCCTATTTTGAGTTGAAGGATTATATTAAAGAATTAGGGTACAACTCAAGTTGTAAATTTAGTATTCAGCCACATAATTGTGGCATTTTAGGAGATATTGAAAATGACAAGGCTCTTTTAGCAATTGGTAAGTCTTTACAACACAGGGGTGTTTTGGAAGTATATGTGCACATGCCTGAAAAGGAATCTTGTTCACCTTTTAATAAAGGGTCTACTTTTAATTGTTCTGTTGCTCAGTCAAACACTGTTGCTCCTTCAAACACTGTTGTTGCTCCTTCAATCACTGCTGCTACTCCTCCAAACACTGCTCCTCCTCCACACACTGCTCCTTCAAATATAGCTGCTCATGCAGATCCAATTGTTGTTCCAGCATACACAACAGCTGCTCTTTCAAATCCAGAATCTTCTCAAACTGAAGATTACTCAAGTGAAGATGGGTCTGATGAATCAACTGAAGATAGTGATTATTGTGAAGACAATGATTTTTTTTGGGGGGATGATTATGGCAGTGATGTACATGAGGAGTACATAAAGATTAGGAAGGAAAGTAGGTCATTTCAAAGGAGAAAAAGAAAGGAGAAAGTTGTTGTTGATACTAAAGATGTACCATGTGGTGATGCTGGGCTAGATCTTGGTTTTGATGAGACTGAAACATGTAAAACATGTGTAGAAGGAGGGCTAGGTGGTGATGAACCATATTATCCAAGTTCCAATGCTTGTAGCTTTGAAACTGATGAAAATGAATGTTGGAATGAAGATGGGGACAGGAAGGTAAAGCTAACAAAAAGGAGATCTACATCTACAAAGAGTGTGAAGTTTGATAAAACATGTAAAAAGATTGTATGGCAGTTGGGTATGATCTTTGAGAGTGTTGATGACTTTAGAGATGCAGTAGTAACTAGGTATGCACTACAAAAAAGAGTTCTGATTGAAAAGCATGTAAATGAGCCAACTAGATTCAGGGTGAGGTGCACCAAGGATAACTGCAATTGGCTTTTGTTTGTAAGCTTGGATAGTGTAAGTAATAATTTTGTTATAAGGACTTACAATCCAGTTCACAAGTGTGAGAGGGCCTCCAGAAATTATTTGTGCAATTCTAAATTCTTGGCCAATGCCTTTAAAGATAGAATAACTGAACAACCAAACATAAGAGTATTCAAGTTGCAAGAATTAATAAAGAAGAAATTCAAAGTTCATGTTGGTAAAACCATAGCCACGAGAGCAAGAGCTAAAGTACTGCAGCAAATAATGGGTGATCATAATGTGAAGTTTGGTAGAATTCTTGATTACAGGGATGAGTTGTTAAGGACCAACCTTGGGAGCACTTGTGTTGTGAAGCTTGGTGAACCTGATAAACTTGGGAGGCCAGTGTTTGTAAGCTTTTACATCTGTTTTAAGGCACTGAAAAATGCATTCTTGTGGTGTAAAAAATGCAAAAGCTTCGATGGTTGTTTCCTGAAGGGTGTAAGCAGGGGGCAACTACTAGTTGTTGTGGCTAAGAATGGTAATAATCAAATGCTTCCACTTGCTTGGGCAGTAGTTGAATATGAGAAGAAAACTACATGGTCATGGTTCTTAACTTTGCTGAAGGAAGACTTGGGATTAGGTGATGGCACATGCTTCATTTGATCACTGACATGCAAAAGGTATATTTCAGCAACTGTAACTTTGTGTTTCATTAGCTTCACTTTCTTTCTTTAAAACTGACTTATCATTCATGTAACAGTAATTTACAAGGATTGGATTCAGCAATTAAGGAATTCTTTCCAGCTTGTGAACAAAGGGTGTGTGTTAGACACATCTTAGCTAATTGGTCAAAGAAATGGAGAGGGCTTCAAAGGAGGAACTTATTCTGGAAATGTGCTAGAAGCACTTATGAAGCAGAATTTAAAAAATTATCTGAAAACACTGTCAATGCTTGGTAAGAACATAGTGGATGATCTATTGTACTATGACAAGGGGTATTGGTGCAAGGTGTATTTTAACTGTGAAGTCAAGTATGATGCAGTGGATAATAATATGTCAGAGGGTTTTAATACCTGGATCTTGGCAGCAAGGCACAAGACTATTATTAGCATGCTTGAAGAGATTATAATCAAGATGATGACCAGAATAGGCAAGTTAAGGGCATTTGCAAATACATGGAGCAGCACCATCTCTCCAATGGCCTTAAAGATATTGGAGGACAATATTGAAAAATCAATGAGATGTACCATTGAGTTTAATGGACAAACATGATATGAAGTAACGAATGATGGTAAACAACATACTGTGTGCCTTAGTAAGAAGGTTTGTAGTTGCAGATCTTGGATGCTAAAGGGGATACCATATCCACACGCCATATGTGCAATGTATTATGACAATGTTGAACCAACTGATTTCATTGATAGCTGCTACAACAAGGAGACATACTTGTTAACTTATTCTAATTTCATTCAACCATTGAGTAATATGGCAATGTGGCCTGAATCTACCAACCCTTCTGTTGCACCACCAGTTGTCAAAAGTATGCCTGGCAGACCAAAAAAGGTTAGAAGGAAAGAGGCAAATGAAACTAAGAAGTCGGGTAAATTGCTTAAAATGGTCTTGCAATGACATGTAGCCTCTGTCATGAGAGGGGTCACAACAAAAGAGGGTGTCCAAAGAGTGATAGACTTGGTGCTAGTTCATCAACAGCTGCTGCAAAACCATCAGTTTCAGGAAAGGGAAGAAGCAGACCAAAGGTAATGTTCTATTTTGTATCAATTTCTTTTAAATTTAGTTCACTATCTAACATGTTTTTTTTCCAGAAATCAAGTACTAATGAAGATGAACCTACTGTAAAAAGAGGAAGAGGTAGACTAAGGAAAACAACTAATGCATCTGCTGCTAATGCACCTGATACTGCAGTAAGTGCATCTGTTGGTGTTGAATTTCCATCAACTTCTTCACTTGGCAGTTGGTTTACCTATTCTGCTCCTAGTTCTGCACCTCCTGATACAGTAGTTAATACTTCTGCTGCTGCTGGAATTTTATCAACAACTGGAGGCAGGGGAAGAGGAAGAGGAAGGGGAGGAAGGTCCACAACACATCATTCACTTGAAAGTTGGTTTTCATATTTAGCTCCAATTGCATCTGATATTGTATATGCTGCACCTAGTTCATCTACTGCTACTAGAGGAAGGGGACAGGGTATTGGAAGCTCAACACCATATAAAAGGCCAAGACTGATGGGAATGAGTGTGTTTCAAGCTAAGAATGGCTTCACAGCTATTAATGTAAGTGTTGATGCAATCAGTTCTGCTATTATCTTTATGTACCTTAAACTAATTAAACTATTTTTTGTATAGCCTGGGCTGCCAAGTAGCAGAATAGTATCCACTAGATCATCAATAAAGATTACAAGATCAGCTGTTGTTACTGGTGGTATTGGTTTCAAACCAACAAGTGGACTGAAGTGGAAAGGAAAACAAGCAATTACAACAAAAAGGCTTCAAGAAATTAGAGACAAATCAAGGAATGCTGGTTCACAGCCAAAAGAACCATGGAAATTATAGTGTTGATAGGGCCCTATTGTTTTTAGTTCTATCTAGAATGGTGTTTTTGTTGTTATGAAGCTGCTGAAATTTTTGAAGTGTTGTTAGAATTATGGAACATTGGTATTCAAATGTACTATTGTTTGTGTTGTTGAAAACAAATGTGTTGTGTATGAAATAGTACTGAAAGTGTTATGTTGGAAACTAATGTTTTGTTATTAGATTATTGGTATTCAAATGTACCGTTGAAGTAATTTGTTGAAAATTATAGTAGTTTTCTTCATATGCAATTGGTTTAGATGTTCTGAAGTCGTGAGCAGTGTGCTAACCAACTGCTGCCAAGAGGCTTCTTTTTTTCTTTTGCCAAAATTTGCTCAAACAGCAACAAGAGCAGATTTGTCAATAGAAAATGATACCATGATACCAAAATGATGTTTCATTCTAATACAATACCAAAATGATGTTTCATTAAAATACCAAAATGAAGTAGACAACCAAACCACATCTAACTTACCCTATCCGACATCAATACCAAAATGATCTTTTATTACGACAACAACCAAAATGATCTTATATTACGACAACAACCAGCTACTATGGCAACTCCATTTGATTTTTCTTCAAGTTGCCAACTTGGATTAAGCCGCTAACATACACAATTTGTGGCCTAGACGGTCGTAATTTTCTTCTAACTCTTTGATTTTGTTACCAATCTTGGAAGAATAAAGTTTGATCTTTTATCAACTTTTTCCTTGTCTCTCCATCTGAAAAACTTGCAATTTGTGGCCTGAAATTTAAAGAATACAATAACGACCCAATCAACATTAATTTTCAAATTAGTCGATAGGCTTAGAACATGAACACATACCTCATAGTGAGGACAAGACCAAAATCGTCTTCCGGGATTCCGATATGACCAAGAAGTTTGCATTTGCAGCAAAATACTATGTTTGCATCGCACTTTGGCATTGAGCATTGGATCATCTTCGTCCATGCACAATTTATTCAACTTGGTATTTGCCATTCCTAACCCTAAGATTTCATAGACAGAAATTGGGGAAGAAATTAAAAAATCCTTAACAGAAAAACGAGTCAAAGGGAGGAATATGTGAGGGGAGTAATTATGCATTTTTCAGAAGATTATATGAATTCTGTTCATTTCATATTCTTATTTAGATATGTTTCATCTTGATTTTCGATTATTTGCCTTAAAAAAGAAAGTAAACAATTTTTTCAGAGTAGAGGTACATATCATAATGATATACAAACTTTTAAACAAAGTAAAAGAGAATTTCTATAAACCCCAAACTTTTTTTATAATCATTTGATACCTGATATTAAGCTAGCTTTTGGATATAGATTTGGTTAAAAGTTGAAAAAAATAAATAAATTTTGAAGATGAGATGAAAAATAGTGTTTGGAAGTTGTAATTATATTTGGACATGCATTTTTACTTAAAGAGAAATTGATGTTTTGTGAGTAGAAAACTTCAAAACTTGAAAAATTAATTTAAATCACTTTTTAAAACATGAAAAATTCATCTTCAAAAATTGCCCAAAAACTGATTACTTTTTATAACCTAACAATGCTTTCAAAAAATTTTGAAAAAAAATTAAAAAATGTTATAGCCAAACGGAAGCTAAGATTTTTGGTACTTGACCGCCGAAAAATTTGTATTTGAACGTGTAGAACCTATTAAAGAGAGAAGTATTTTATACCAATTTTTATTTTCAAGATCTAAACCCGAACTTTTTGAATAACAGACAAATCTAATATATCTCAAACCCTCAAGGATAAGCGCAAGGGCAATGTAGCCTTATAGTTAAGGTTCATCTGAATTCATAACTTTCGACATAAAATATAAATATTTATATAAAAAAAATTATTAAAATCTCAACAAATAATAGATCTGAACCCATAATTTAATCGTATAATAAGTTCAATCATGAGAATCTTACACATTAAAGGGCAGTCTGGTGTACTAAGCTCCCGCTATGTGCGGGATCCGAAAAATGAGCGGACCATAAGGGTCTATTATACGCAACTTTACCCTGCATTTTTGCAAGAGACTATTTTCACGGTTCGAACTCGTGATCTCGTGGTCACATGACAACATCTTAAACATTGAATTCATTAAATTTAAATCATTGATTTGCCTATGGATAAGCGTGTTATATTTAGAAAGTTGACGGATGAGATGATGTAGAATCTTGGACTGATCTGTAAAAAACTGACAGATGAGATGATGTTGAATTTTTGGATGTATTTTAATGGAAAGCCATTGTCTATATGCCTTGCGTTAGAAGAAACTGCGAATAACTATGTATTTTGGTGGGTTCAAATAGATTTGGCCACGTTTCTGCACTTTAGAATTTTTTAGCTAATAAGAAAACCTTGTATAAAAGCAGATATTTCCAAACTTTAATCTCTTGGATTTAAGGTACATTGGCATGTAAAAGATATCCATACTGTAATCTCCCGTTAGATCATAATTGTTTTTTCTTTTTTTTTCAAAAATATTTTAAAAACATGATCTGGTGATAAAAGGTGATCAGTTATTGAGCAGTTTTTGAAGATTAATATTTCATGTTTAAAAAAAAAATGGTTTAGACTATTTTTTTGAAGTTTTTGATGTTTTGTACTCACAAAACTTCAACTTCTTTTCAAGTAAAATGCATGTTCAAATACAATTTTAACTTCTAAAAACTATTTTTCATCTCATCTTAAAAAAGAAAAAATTCAAATTTCAACTAAATCTACGTGCAAACACCAGCTAAATTTGTTCGTACAATTTAACTTCAAGTGAGATGTGACAGATTACTTTCTTATAATTAGTAATTGATTTTTTAAACCTGATAGAGTAAAATAAATTTTACGCTTTTCATTTACGCAGGCGTGTAAAAATTAAACTTTAATTTCTTTACACATTTGATCCAGTTTTAGAATTTGGTCCAGTGGATGACGTTTGCAGTGATACCTAAACTGACAAACTTTTTTTATGATATTATCGACGAACAGTGTGCACAATTAGATTTTCCTATCGTGGTGGTATCGGGATAAATTTTCACGCGCTTCTATTATTCTACCAAATATCTCCCATGAGCACACGTATTTATACTTTGCGCAAATCGAATTAAAAAATCGCACCAAATCGAAAAGTCAAATCAAACCGATTAAGAAACCCGATTAAGTTTGGTTTGATTTGGTTTGGTATTGAATAAAAAATCCGAACCAAACCGATATATAAATATATAATTTTAAGACTTTATGTAAAATTTTATTTAAAAGATGTCTAGAAATATTTGAGATCCTCTAATGGGATATAATATTTAATAGAACTATAAAGTGCATTCATTTTTATTTACTTTAAATAATAGATTGTATCACTTTCTTATTATGTGTTATTGAAACGTGTCAATCATATCTTTGTTCTTTCATATTCATATGTCAAGATTTATTATATGTTTTTCGAATTTAAAGTGGTATTTTGATAATCTAAAATTACATAGAACATATCATTATTTAGGTATCATATTGATTTTTATGTTTAATTATTAAATTTAGTTAACCCTGAAAACGTACATCAACCAAAAATTATTGGTAGACGACTAAGAAAATAAACTATTATGTGTTACTAAAAAAATAATTCTCCCATAAGATCACTTTAATAGATCATTTGTTTGTTATTTTTTTTTTTAATTTTTAGTAAACATATATTCACTTATTAAAATTTTATCTATAGCTTTAATAATGCAAGATTGAAATAATATTCATGTAACAAAAAAACCCGAAAAATTCGACAAAATCGAACCAATCCAAGCAGATATAATTGGTTTGATTTGATTTTGATAAAATATGAACCAACCCGGTCCAAATACACCCCTACTTTATGCACCTAGGCTTAAGCAATAAAAAAAATCACTCAGCATTTGTTTGTTTGTTGTGGTCTCAACTAAGATTTGAACGCTAAATTTTTAAGGTTTTCACGCACTTCATTGATATACAATTTGTTTTAATGCCGTGAGAAAGTACAATCTTCCAAACCAGCAATACCATTTGCCTATGTCAGAAAAAGAAGTCACAATTGAAATAAGGAATCACATCTGACTTCCCCTTGAGTAAAACAGAAAAAAGAGAAGAAAAAAAGTCCTTGTTATCTTGTTCTCATTATTGTTTCTTGCCGCTGTTTTATTTTTATCTTTCCTCGTGTCAAGAGTCTATTGAAAACAATCTCTCTACATTAAAATAGAGTAAGATCTGTGTACTCTTTTTTCCCTAAACTCTATTTTTTCTCATGTCAAGGATTTGTTGTTGTTGTTGTTATATTTTAAGATCATGTATTTTGTTTGGGTAGATAGAAGAAAGTAAGAAGAGATGCATATTTGGTAAGAATATGAAAGAGGAGGGTGAAGTGAAAGTGGAGCGTCGGTTATCCCCTCTTTTTAATCCTTTCAATTCATCTCAAAATATAACACAAGAAATAAGGAGTACTTATATTTAGATCAACTTATCTTCGTACACATATTTGTCGCTTAACCTTGGCTAAATGAATACATATTTTTACTTAAAATTTTAACCTTGGCTAGCAAGTTGGATGGAACCAACTTCACAGGCCAATGCCATTTCGAGGGCCTTAGCAAATGCAACGATCCGACCGATCGTTTTGAGCTTTAATGCGTCACTCAGCGGTTTGAGGCCATGAGTAGCTTTACTTCGGGTATTATGACTTGTACGTATGGTCAGAATTGAAATTCGGGAAATTCGGAGTTGATTTGGAGAGAAAATTCTAATTTCTGAAGCTTTAAGTTGGAAGAATTGACTAAAGTTTAAGTTTTGAGTAAATTACCTCAGAATCGGGATTTGAAAGTTTCAACAGGTTCGTATGATGATTTTGGACTTGGGCGTATATCCGGATCGAGTTTTGGATGACCCGGGAGCGTTTCGGCACCTATTGTGAAAAGTTGGTATTTTGGAAAGATTTCATAAATTTGGGTTAAAGTGTATTTTAATGTTATCGATGTCCGTTTGGGATTCAGAGTCTGGGAATAGTTCCGTATGGTGATTCTGATATAGGGAGCGCGTTCGGATGTGGATTTGCAGGTCCGTAGATCATTTCAAGGTCATATGGCGAAAGTTAGAAATTTGAAGGGTTTTTAGGAAGTTTGATCGGGAGTGGACCTTTTGATATCGGGGTCGGATTCCGATTCTGAAAGTTGGAGTAGGTC